CATGAAGTCCGCATTCTGGGAAGGCACGCAATTAGGTTATCGACTCGCGACCGATTCTGTAAATGCTGCCTCCCGCATTATTTCAAATCTTTTTAGCATTTACCTCATAGGCGCATGATTGAATAATTTTATGCGCATTTTCCTCTCCCCTGAATCCCCAGAGTGAAAGTTTTTATGCGTAGTGGCGACTAATGGGAGTTAGAATGTGGCTAAAGGCGTCCTAATCAAATACCAGAAAATTTGCGCCAAAACGTAGGGAACGAAGAAAGTATAAGGAGGCCATCATACTTCAAAATCTTCCGATTCACACTAACTGTAAAATATCAGGTAATTTTACATCCATCCAGCTTAAACACAATCTGGTGCTACTCAAAATTATGAGTAGTATCAAGAGAGTAACTTTCATATCCTACTCACCTCCTCAGCCGCCTTTTTGACCAATCCCAGATCACCTTCTAATGCAGCATCAAGAAGCAGAGCTAGTGGATGAAATCGAACTCCCGTTTTCGGTGAACCTGGATCCATCTTATCCACCGTCTTCAATTCCTCACTTCCCTCAACTCGCTGATCTTCCTCTTCCGCGTCATCCTCCGCAGCCTTTCGAAGAATCGGCTTCATACCTGCGCTAAGCCCTTCCTCATCTCGATCTTTTTTCGGCGACTCTTGACTAATTATCGGTGATTCATCCGTGTCTGCAATCGCACTATCTTCACTTCCATCAATGATACGGGACCCAGACCCTCCCATTGTCTTTCTCACTGGTTTTGGAGTCTCAAAAGAACTGCCCGAAGACCCAGCAGATGTTGAGTCTTCTTCGGAATAGGGAACAGCTACCTCGGGTACGGTGTTTAGTGGATCGGTGGGAGATAGCCGTTTGGCTTCAGGTAGGACGACTTCAATGCTTTGTAGCTGCTGCGAGGCGAGCTGAGCCTGAAGGTTCTCACTAGCAGTGCGTTTGTACTCATCAGTGTGTTCATTACGCCACTGAGGTGGAGTGAGGTAGGTGTCATTTATCTCCTTACGCGAGGCAAAACGCGCCTTGTGCAAGACGGGACTGGGAGTGGGGAGGGGCGGACGGGGAAGTGGAGGTGACGGCTCGGTGTTGTTGGCGGCAGCAGATGGAGGAAGCGTCTCCTTATCAGCTGGTGCAGAGGCTGGGCGAGTTAATCGAGGCGAAGGCGTGGGTGTGAAATCCCGTTTCTGAGCGCCTGTACTTGAATGACGTCCAGACCTGTAAACAGTGCATGAAATAACTGCTTGATTTATGTATAAACTGTGTCAAATCAGGGTGGACATTATTACTTTATGGAACTTCAGTAGGACTACTGAAGGTGACGCGTTATAAAAATAGCCAAATCTAACCGTCTTTCCCCCCTTACCTTATTGCAGAGAGGTGCATTAATCAATGCTTCTAATAATAAGGAGATAAATATTGGGTAAATTCAAGGATAAGACCAAGTGTTGCTACCTTTATGGTCACAATGCAACGGTTGTTAATTATTAATAGCAATAGGGGAACCTTTAGTGTCTCCTAGTGCTGATAATAAAGTTGATCTCCCGACTCGTATACCTGATTGGGTCTTCAGTGATATGGCACACGGATGTTGGACAGATGGCAAACCTTAGGACTTACTTTAATAAAATGCCTTTAAAACCTCTACAGATTATATGGTCATCTTACAGATCTCCAGCTGCTATTATGTGATGAAGTGACAAGAAAGCAAAACATCTGTCACGGAATTGTAAATGAACCTATCTATTCTACCTCTTTGTTGGTTCAGTTTTTATTGAGAGAGACAGCAAGTGAGTAGTTGCATCGGGAGTGAATTACACACAGAGTAAGCACGGTATTCTGGGGATGTTTGTCCCGGATGTATGAGGTGGGTAATGGGGTGGTGAATAAGTTGGGAACAATCAACCAATGATATGTCCGTTTGCCTAATGAACGTTGCAATAAAAGGTAGTCTGCCTGAGATAGACAGTTGACTCCTATATGGCATGCAAAAGAAGTTTAAGTATACGAGATTTACGGTGATTAACAGGAAGTTCATGCTATAAGCTTTCTGTGTCAGCACAGGGACGGCTCTATTTAGCAACAATGATAAATTTCTTGTCTCTCAATGAGATCGCTTCATTGCAGCCATGATAATAAATGAGAGAATATTTGAAGGTGCAATAAATCGCGGTACCGCGCAGTGTGACTGCGACGAGTGCTGCACCAAGGAGGGGTCAAATGGGGAGGCGAAAGAAGAAATTGTCTCCACAATGTCAATGTGGAACAAATCACCCCAAAGATGAAGACACACCGCATGTGACTCACATCTCGCATCGACGGTTTGAGGTAAATTATTTATGCCACCTAATTAAATTGGTCCAAGTCAAAGAGATGGGTAAAAGATGATTCCCTTCTGTTTCCTCCCAACTAATAAGACGAGACAACTTACCTACTAGGGAAGAATAATTCGACACAGAAAACAAGCAATTTATTGAGACACTCATGAATATCCGGTCAAACCAGCAGGATTCAGGACCTGCTGGTTGCAGTGGTGGTGGTGGTGGTGATGGTACTAACAGTAGCAGTCAATGCACATTTCACCCGCATGTGAAGACTCAGAGATTTGTCATAAATTTTACCACTAGCTCATTCAGTCAGTCAGTCAGTCTCACGCCTTTCCCCACGCCTTATCTACCTCCGTGCATCAGTTGTGCTCCATTCAATGTGTTCAAAGGTGTGGGAAAATGCTGATCTTATCTACACCTCGCACCCTCGCCCTCGCCGTCATCAGCACACGCGTATACACACATGCACACGTAAACCGTTCACCATTTTGGACAAACTAGCTTCCAGTTTCGTAAGGTATTGCAGTTGCTTTAAAAAGTAATCTCTCTTCACCGATTCGTGGAGTGAAATACTGCCTACCCAAAACTAGGCGAAAAAAGGGCTAATGTGAAAAGCGAGAGAGAGAGAGAGAGAAAAGTAGAGGGAAGTAGCACATTAAGGTGGTTAAGCATCAGATGAATTCTATAAAATGACTTTGGTTCTGACTATTTAACCTTTCGCCATTGGCAATTGGGAATAAAGGGCTGTATTGGAGGCCATTGGGGAACCACATAACATTCACACCGTGACAATTGAGTTACCCTTTTAGACAGAACTCTGACAACCTATCCGGTGTTACCCGTGGCCTTTTCTCCTCTTCCACTCATGAGTCCACCTTATTATAGTCAAAAAAAAAACGGCAATCAAATGGACAATTTTCGTCTAGACAGACAAACATTTACCCCATAAAAATGAACAACAGAGAAGAGACTTAAGGTGGAGTTTGAAGTAAACCAAAATTGTTGAAGGTAAGAGTTAAAAAGAAGGAAATTATTAGGAAATAATTCTGCACTTATCGTCAATCACATCCTTCCTCCCCCCCCTCCGCCTTCTGCTCCTTTCTTCCACCAACTCTCTTCAGTCTAATGTTTCACTGCTTAACTAATACTCGGTAAGCATCGTCGACATAGAGATTTATCAGCACGGCTGAATCACCATTGGATGCTTCAACCACGGAGTGATGAGTCTTTCATGCTATCACCGTTGTGTCCCCTGCCGCCGGTGTGTGCAATTTTGTGCCCCAGTAAATACTGAATAGTTGGGGTTGGAGAAGGGGAATGCCACAACCGACATACACACACACAGAGGCGTAAATTTCAATCTCTTATGCACTTAAAGCCAAAGCCAGGTTCATCGCTGACTCCTTGCTTCATCAATACCACCATTGGTTGTCACCATGGTTGACAAAAGCTAAACCAAGAATGACCCGCATAATGCAATACCGTCATAATAGGCGATAGTGCAACCGCCTTGCTCATACACAGCCAGACCGCATTATTCGTGTAACATCCTTTTCAGATGCCATGAGGTGATACAAATTTGGGCTATCCGATTTTGGCATGTTAAATGGAATTGGTCAACCTACAGACCTGCAAAAACTTCCACTTTCATGCTCGCCTAGCAACTAGTGCATTGATGCCTTGAAGATACAAAATAGGCTCAAATTTTGAGATAAGAAGAAGGAGAAGAAGAAGAAGAAGCAAGTACATTGACATCTACTGCGCAGAAGCATTGAAGAAGGACGTAAAATGAGACAAAATGTAATTAGAGCGACATTGGATCCAAGCGTGATGGCTGCCAAGAGGACAATTAAATTTAGGAATGCAAGAAACCCCAACCAACACATAATAGATAGAGAATATCTAATTTTGGATAAGGAACAACTTATTAAGCACACCAATTAGTCTAATGAGCTCCTCAATGAATACCGATTCGCACTGAACACGTTGACATCAATTCCGACTTGTCATGAAGCGTGTGTCAAGAGTGAGCCCTTAGTGAGATTGTTTGATCTGGAAGGCCTGACAATGACTCAAACAACTCGATGAAGGCGCCTGTGATAGATAAATCATGACGAGAAGAACATATTCAGCCCTACAAGGAAGCTCGCGTACAACTGTCATGTAGACGCTGAAGTCTCTCCAACTGGAACCAAATGCTGGAGAATGAACTCACCTCTCAGTGGACGGTTTTGGGGGCAGATCGGTGGGAAGAGGTCGAGCCGGAGAGGAGGTAGTGGATGGCTTAGTTGAAGTCAATCTGGACACCGTTGGATGAGAACGTCTCTGCGACCGCAAATTACCAATTTTTCGATCCAACCGACACAACTCCTCGAAGGCTCTCTTCCACCGTGTTGTATCCTAAAGTGAGTAAATGCTTAAACCGATTAGGTAGGAAGAAAGGCGTACAAAAAAAGACTGCTACTACCTCAGTAGTAATTAACAGACTGATGGCAATCATACTCTCCTTTCAAAAAAAAAAGATATCCTCAACAAATGAATAAAGACCAATGAGCCTGTGCAAAGGCGATAAAAGTCACTTTCATGAATGAAATGTAAAAATGGCTCCATTGGAAGAGGCTAAATGTGCTCCTTTTTGCCTAAATAAAGGATAGCCAAACTGGAGCAACTTTTAGAACATTAAATGTAACAACAGTTCTTCCACCCCAACAGGAATACTTTCCATGTGTGGTGATGAAAGTGGATTACACGCAAGGAAGCCGTAAATTTGTACACATTTTCAACTGTCCGGAGTTGCACAACAACAACGGCACCATCTATTGGAGGTTTGACAGCACAAGATTGATAATTTTAGGAAGGGAAAAAAAAGTAAAGTGCTGGTAGGCCTGGCCATTAGAAGCGTTAATTTCTTTTTTTGTACACTGAAGGCGATCACTGACCTTGAAGCAGGCAAATGGACTTAGGCTATAAGGTCATATAACTCAGGAAATTATTGCATCCCCATTTCCAAATTCGACTGTTAAGAGATCGTATATTTCCACCCCATCAGTAGAGGCAATTTGGCTCTTAAAACTTTCCAAGAGAAAAAAAGCAAAGTAATTTTGACATCAAATAAGTGCTTTGGTAGTTGAGCCAATCAGTAGTACATCTCAATGCTTCATAAACTCTTTCAATCGGGATAAAAATTTAAAGAGAATTATAGGATGAGGGCTGTTAAAACACAAATTTTGCTCATTTTTACACCTTTCATACTTCACCTTCACATGTGACTAGTTAGCCACTGCCTCAAGGGGAGAGAAGGAGGAGAAGAAACACTTGTAGACATTTCTCATTGGTTTGAAAGGAACAAAAGTCAGCTGTGATAGCTGCTAGAATTCCAGTAAACAAGTAACTATTACCTATTTCTACAAAATAAAATAAGTAGCAAGAGTAGTCGTGATTGGGAATGAAGATGTTTCTGTTCTGGAGGCTTTAGGTGAGGAGCTAATGACATCTACTTGTGCATGTCATATGAAGGTCGTTTGACACGCTGTTGCAATCATACCTTCTTTCTGCCCTGCATAAAGGTTGACTTTAAACCTAACCGAAAGGTAGTACAAGTAAAAGACTTTCCTACATCTCCTTGCAAGACTGACATTAGAGTGATTCAACATCACCCAAAACGCTCCTTTAAAATCAAATCCAAGAATCGAGAAGTAACTTCTACCATCCTGCATCACCTCTACTTCAGAAGCCTAGTAACAACTCCACCAGAATCCAGTTTTTTTCACAACTTTGGAACCCCCTTAGACTAAAGTTGCCAGACCGTGAAGATCAAATTTCACCCACCAATTTCGGCCGCCTCGGATTGGCTGATGTTCAGATCTGTGGTGTACACTAATGCTTGTAATAAAAGCCC